GGTCAGAATACATGGGAGGGTGTCCAGGGTTCAGATCTCAGCTATTCCCTGCCCCCCCCACACTACCTGGGTGAGACTTGCTCTCCAATCTATCTGTGATAGTAAATCTACCCTCTCTGGATTGTTGAATTGATTAAATGAGGTCACATATGCAAAGCACTGAGTGCCTAGGTATTAACACTCAATAAATGCAGCTATTGTTATCACTTGTAACTTGCCATTTCCCTGAACATTTTAATTTTAACATAATTGATTTTCAGTGTTATTCAGAGTCTGAAAAAATCACATTTAATGGCCCCTGGATATACCGCTTTTTTCACTGTTCTCTTATAAGAAATGTTTTGGCTGCTTCCGTTTTTACCTTCTTATAAATAGCTTTGTGATGAACACTGTCGTGCATCTAGCTTTTCCTCCCCCATACTTTGGAGATTTTCCTTAAGATCATTTCTCAGAAGTGGAATTACTAAGTCAAAGGTAATAAAAATGAGTAGACTTCAGATTCTTAATGCCTGATGGCAGAAAGCCATGTCATTTCCTAGCCCTAATCTCTGCCACCTTCATACCATTCCCAGACCCTCCTGCCCCCAGCAGGCTGCTCCCCTCTCCCGCTGGCAATATACCTGGCTGCCTCCCACCTCCATTCCTTGCTGCCTCCCAGCCTGGCTCCTGTGTCAAGACAGGAGCCTTTCTCTATCTCTGGGCCTGAAGTCAACCCACACTGAGTTTCATTGTTCACAGGTCAGCCCAGCCCACCCCAACCCCTACCATTTCTCCACCCTCTGATTCCACCCAGCCTTTCACGAGATCATCAAACCTGCTTGATCTGGGGACTTTCTATCCCTTTCATGCTTTCTCACGTCATCCCTCTGATGAAGGGATGAAAGGATGGAGCCTCAGGCTTCTCTTCCTTCTCTCAGCCCAGGGCTGAGCACTGGTTCTAGGAGCCCAGCCCCACGTCATGTATTCATGAGGCAAAGTGTCCCACCAAGGTCATCTGTGAGCAAGGCTGCAGGGGCCTAGGAGCTAGGAGAGAGCAAAACATGAATAACCAGTGTAACCATGAAGGACAGGGGCTTGGTGAAAGTTCAAAGCAGGGAAGAGGGGTGGGCTCAGCTCAATCTGATGTGCTTTGCTCCCTGGGTGATGCTTGTTTAGAGTCTTGCCCTGAACAAGCCACAAGCCACTTAACTCTAAAGCTGGGGGCCTCCATCTACACCAAACGCTCTTCACTAAAAGGTATGGAATGAAGTTATTCAGGTGAACTTGTCTAGCCAGTGCATGCAGCAGGTGGTCAATAAATGTTCATGGTGAGGACTGGTATAGACTGAGGATTAATCCTTTGCCTGGAGCTGCACTGGGAGAATGCTTGGGGTACAGCGCTTGCAATTCTGCAAGGGCCTTTTCTTCCTCTGTAGAGACAGAGTAACTGGGTGTCCAGCCAGCAGCAGATCTCTTGCCAGGTTTGAGCTAAATAGAAGGGCCGTCATACAGGTGGAATCTGCTGAGTGAAATAAATGTTCACCTTTGGTTCTAGTGTGGTGAATCTGTGATGGAGCTTTGCAAAGGCCACATTTGGCAACCATTTCTGGACAAGCTGCAAACTCACTCCTGCTCAGGCTACAAATCCTTCAAACAGGGAGACCTATGCAGAAGGTCTGGGGTAATGTCAGGAAGACAATCTGCATTTCGGCAGGCTCCCATGGTTTTGCTTACAATCAGGCTTGAACAGGCTGCCATAATGCTGTAACTGAGCCCACTCTGCAGATGGGGAAGCCACTGTATCCAGGGAGCAGGGACTCCACAGTATGGGGTGCAAATCAGTGGGGGGGGGTTGGGAGAGGGGGCGCTAGTGGGGAACTTGGACCAAGTCCTTGCTCTGACCTGGAGTTCTAGGCCCTGGGGAGGTGGGATTCCAGACCTTATCTCCCCTAGAAAGTGAGTTATTGATGGCAAAGGACACCCCAAGCCCTTCACAAGATGCATTCATATTTATTATTTTGTTTCACCTTTACAATTTAATAATGACCCCCACTTTGCTCAAGAGGGAACTGGAGCTCAGAAAGTTCAAATTATCTGTCAGACAACACTGCTGGTCACCTCCTGGGCCTGGGCCTGACCTTGGTCTATGAACCCTAAAATCCAATTACAAGGACAGGAGACTGCCTGGGTTCAGAATAAGTGACTCTAGGTGGCACCCAGATACAATTCTCCCATTTGAATTGTCATATATTTCAGTTTCAACTAGAAAAAGATAGATGTGATTATAAACCCCCAGGTACTACTGTTGAAGACAGAATATGCAAACTCCTTGAGGGTGGGATAAGAGACTGGAAGTGCAGAGAAGTGCCACAGCGACAGAGACAGCGAACACCGGCTAAGTGGCTAGTGAAGGGTCAGGGAGAACTCTAACCCAGAGTCTGTTGACTGTTGCCATTTCGTGTACTTGTGGTTTTCTAGCCAAGACCCTCCCAACCTCATCCTCTGTCCCTAAGGTCTCAGGCAGAGGCAGATACAATGCTCCTCTGAAGGTACAGAGATGACTAACTTGCTCCTTCTAACCTTCTCCTACCCACAACCCACTTCCTGTAGCTTTCAAGAATGCCTGTTTCTCCCCCACCCCGCAGACTAGACTTGAATGGCAGATTAGGAAGTGCTGCCTGGGGTTAAAATCCCCCTCCCATCCTTCAGGGTGGCCTGTGGTTCCTGCAGGGAAGGGAAAGAAATGTAGCTCTTTGTTTTCAAGTGTTTTCTCTCTTCTGTCTCTTCCTTTTGCTAAGGATTTCCTGGACCCTTAATATACCTTCTTTTTGTAGGATCTCTGAACTCTGAATAAATGCACCTTCTCTGTAGCACCCCGATTTCATTCGGGGATCACAAGTAAAGAGTTCTGGCAAATAAACAAGAGGTCTTCTAGGAGTCTGAAAACAGTTATTGTAAGGAATGGCAACTGGTTCTCTTAGAAAAGAGAAGATGGGGGAAGGAGGAGATGACCATCACCAAACACCTCAGAGGAGGTCTAGATTACGGTGTATCTGTCCAGCTCTGGAAGCAATGGGGAGAGGGATACAAGGAAGTCAGTTTCACCCAAGTGACCCCAGTCAACTATAAAATGGGGGCAAAGCACTCACACCACAGGGGCGTGTAGAGGATCAATGAGGTGCTCAGCACAGGACCGATGTCTGTAACAACCCGATACTCCTGTTTCCTTTTCAGGTCTCATTCAGAAGTGTCTTGTGAGGCAGTAGCTCCCCTCTGGAAAATTTCAGGGTAGAATTATAATGACTGACTGCCAAGATTCTGTGCTTTGGTGCTACCTGTGACTTTTCATAAAGAAAAATAGGGGCTTGCATGGAGCCCTCACCAGACTCAGTCACGCAGAGAAGGGTTTTTCGTAGGTACTTCATTTAATCTTCTCATCAGCCCTGTGAGGTAAGTATTGTTATTATCCTCATTTTTTTTTTTTCAGATGAGAGAATTGTAATTTAAAAAGGTGAAGTAACTTGCTCAAGATGACAAATGCAGTAAGTGGCCACCACAGACTTAAACCTCAGAGGGACATGCTCCCAAGGGGGGAGGGGTGTTAGCTACCAAATCTAAACTCTCTCATTCACTTGCTCAAAACTCTATGGATCTCTCTCTTACAAAACCCGCAATGTCAAAACCACCTGACTTGGTTCTTCCCATGGTGTGAATGGCCTCTGTGCCCCCTACCTTGTTGAGAGTGGATCTGGGGACTTTTACTGTTGAAATATCCCTCTGCAGTCTGTTAAAAAAAATAACCTATCAGGAGATCAAGTTCGTGGGCTTCTGAGAACTCTTTCTTTGACTCCTAGCTCAATTAGACAGCCAGTAATTCCCTCTTCCCCGTCATGTCCACCCCCACCTTTTCTTCCTGTGCCATTAGAAAAGTCTTTTTTTCCTGGCTGAATCGAGCACTACGGTCTGTTCATCGGCTGACGTTTGTTGAGTTTTAATATGCACCAGGCACTCTCCGGACTGCTTCATATGTGTTAACATGCTGAATCCTCACAGTAAGCTATGAGCTCAGTTCTATATTTTACTCCCATTTTACAAGAGGAAACACCTCCAGTGCATCAGGATTTAGCCCCGTAAGTGAGAGAATGCTTTGCTGCTGGATGATATTATTAGCAACACACCATACAAATACCTTAGGCTGGAATCACGCAACACAGTTTTTGGACATTAGGTCACTGTCATGCACCATGAGCAGACAGGCACTAACGTCCTCATTTTCCCGGAGAGGAAACCACGGCTATAGGGGGATGAGCGATTCTTGGTAGTCACACAGGAAGGGTAATCTGTACCCCTAAATGAACACTGGCTGGTTCCATTCCCAGATCCTGGGGGCAGGGGAGACAGGCGCACTCTGGGGAGAAAAACACCTGCTCACACAATAGGACCTTATAACTATGAGGTCATGGAATAAAAGCTGGTGATCGCAGGCTGGACGGGACTCCAGACCCCTTGACTCCTAATCTAGAGAGCGCTTTCCTTTATCCAAGATGATGGGAAGAAATCTTGGGTCCAGACCTAACAGCAGCCTTGATTTGGGTTCTTAAGCCAGAGAAAGCCGTGCCCTTAAATAAAATAAAACATATATATGAGTTTTACCGCTCTGCATTTTCTGTATTTTGAATGTAAGCATCACTACTTTCACAAAAACAAGCAAGTAAAGAGGGGGACTCTCACACTTCTGAGAGGGCCGGGCAGGCAGAAGGCCCCGTGTTGACCTTAGGATTGCTGGGCACCCTCACTGGCATTTTGGGGCACTCTGTTCCATCCCCATAGAGACAGGGGAAATCTTGGCTGATGGGAAGAGCAGGACTGGAGAGAAACCCTAGAAATTCCTACTGAGGCTGCGATGAGCAGTAACAAGGGCAGTCCAGCCCCTGAAACTCCCTGCACCCTGCCTCCAAGCCAGCCACTTTTAAAAGGGGGCACCCTTGGCCCTGCAAGGGTCAGAGGTCCAGAGCGCAAAAATGAACCAGGGCATGAGAGGTAGGATGACTGGTCAAAGGACAAGCAGAAAAACCTAACACCCTCCCCCCGCCCAACCCTTTAAGAACAACTGGCAATGGGAGAGAATGAGAAAAACAAGGTCCTGCTCATGGACTCACATGCCAATTTAACTTCTGCTTTCCCTAACCCCACCCTCACCCCCATTCCAAGGCACGGTTATTTTACACGGGGACACCTTCCAGGCTCAGACACCTTCCTCTTCCGCCTAAGCCTGTGGACCCTGAACTCTCGTTTGTGACCCCGGGCACAGGCAGCCAGAGCCTCCTATCCTGCCTCCCTTCCCAGGGTCTTAGGCCCTGATTTCTGCTGTGGCCATCTCTCCTGGGTACCCACCTAAGAAGCCAGCCGTTCTCAAGAAACCACTGAAATCCACCCCCCAGCACTGAGGTTGGTCCTGCTGTGTGGTAGGCGTGATGAGGGAGTCTCAGATGGTGGGATAAGTCCCCAGGGTGGGGTGGGAGCCTGCAGGCTGATGGTCAAGGAGGGTCAACTGACCCATATGTAGGCTGCTAGGAGGGAGGAACCGCACAAGTCTGAGAACCCCAGGAGGGAGACCCGCTCACAGGCTGGGATTATGGGGTGGCTTTTGGAGGTGCAATAGTTGCTCTGGAGCTGATTCGTGAAGGTGGAGGATTTCTTACAAAAGAGTGGGGGTGCTCCTAAGCCTGGTAGAAGAATGGAGGTAGCAAAATGCTGGGCAAGTTTAGAAAAGGGGAAGCTTGGGTGGCTGGAGCGAGGATGCGGCAGGGTTGAGAAGGAAGAAAGGAAAAGGTAAAACAAGATTAGAGGAGGGTCATGGCCGATTGACTGGAGGGAGGAACTTGGTGTTCTTGATGCAATATGGATTTTAGCAGACAGGGTGGAGGTGTCATTGAGGGGTTTTTGAGCAGAGCAGGTGTGGGTCTATGTTCAGTGATCCATGCTTGAAAAAATGCCACTCAGAGGATGTGAGAGCAAGGAGAGGGCTTGGAGGCTGGCAAACAGGGTGTGGAATGTAGGGCCCCATGGGCAGGCCTGGCTACCTACGTTGCAGGGTCCACTGCAGAAGGAAAATGTAGGCCCCTTATCCAAAAGTTAATAAGGTTTTCAGGGTATTTCAAGCGGAGCATTAAATAAGCAGTCAACACACCTACGACGCGGTCGTAGCCGTGGGACTGGAAAGAGCAGGCCAGAAGAGAGGTGTGGAAAGCCGAGTCCTGGGCCTTGGACATCTGCTGGACATGAGAAGTGAGGGAGCAATCCCGCTGATGGGTGGTCTTCCCGCCCAGGAAGGCTTCCCCACTGTTTAATGAGCAGCCCTAGGTTCCTCCCCATCAACTCTCACTTATTCAAACACTTACACTTTACTGCCTCCTCTTCTACCTGCTCTTTACCCAGATCTGTTCCTGCCAGGACCCTATCTAAAGGTGTCACCCTTCACCCAGTCACCCCATTAAAAACCCTGGCATCCCCCTCTACTCCATTCTATCCCTTCCGGCAATTCACTTCCTAAAGGTTTCTCCCAACTGTGTGGCCTCTTCAATGCTGTTATCACTGCCAAGTTCCGGCAGGCCCTCATTGGCTCCGGCCTGGATTACCCACAAATGCCTTTTATCTGTTTCTTGTCTCCAGTCTGGACCCCACCCCCGCTCTCAAATAAAACATCCACTCTCCACAGCCCTGCCTCAGTGATGTCCCCCAACAGTCACCTGACCAGGTCCCCAAGGAAGATCTGGGGGCTGCTCCAGCCCACGGGTAAGGGCCAAATGCCTGACATTACACATAAGGCCCTCCGACACCTGGCACAGTTAAGTTTCTAATAAATGCCAGAAGTGCCATGCCTCCCACACATCGCCAGCACCCCCGGCTGGGTTTGCTGTTGTTGCTTTTCCCCCCTTTAGCTTAAGGAGTTTCCTCTGCATTAAGGGGAAAGCCCTCCACCCCGCTCCTCCCTGGCCTGGCTAACCTCAATTCATTCTTCAAAGTTCAAGTTTGGAAGTTTGACTTCACTCTTTCCACATCTAGCAAGCCTTCTCCAGGCCTCCCCCACACCCCACCTAGCAGACCCAGGCTCACACAGAAGCCCATGGCTGGGCCTCCCACCTTGAGGCTAGGAGCCACTGGCACAAGGAGTTCTGTGCAAGCCTGTGTCCAGCACCTCATGCAGAACTGACCACGTGATGCTCCACATGTGTCGGGGCTCTGGCCTGAAGTCTCGGGTGGATGGTATTGGTAAGGCAGAAGGAGGAGGGTGCAGGGGAGGCTGGCAGGAATAACCCCAAAAAGAAAGAAACCCCCCCATACCACATCTTCATTAAGACTCAGCTGGCAGGGTGCACACGGGATCTCTGCAGCTGAGACTCAGTGGTGATGTCTGCTATCTGGTGACTGGTTTGATTGCATTTGATTTCAGAATTTGATTTTTGCTTTCTTCCAAAATGCCCACCCTCCTCTGCTGTTAGTAAACAGTATCTCGTGCTGGCAGGTTGTTTTTCATCTAGCACACCTCTCCCCAACACAGACCAGCAACACAGGCTGACCATGAGTTTGGGGCTGTTTCCCTCACATGTCCCTGCAGTTAGCAGAACCCTTAGTAAACACTTGCTGAATGGGTGACTATGTCCAGTTCCCCAAGGACCGGTGGGGTGCAGAAAGCCTGGGATTATTCCTGATCCACAGATAATCTCCCAAATCCAGAAGCCACCTGGACAGCAGTTGGCTGGACTGAGTTCAGCGGATGCATATTTAAGCCACGGCTGATTGTATGGCGGATTATCAGGGACCAGAAAACGGATGCCCCAAAATCTCTTCTAATAATTCCTGGCACGGGGCCGAGAGGAGGACTGTCAAATCTTCGTGGGCTTTATTTGGCTCTCCTCTCTTCATTTTTTTTTTTTAACCTGTCGGTACTTTTATTATGGAAAGTTTCAAATGTAATGGAAAGTTTCAAACGCTCACTCAAAACGAAAAAACCGGTACAAGGCACCCCCAGGTATCTATCACGTATCTTCAATAATTGTCAACACCAGTCCCACCCGCGTCATCTACCTCCCTGGAGGCCAATCCCAGCTGTCATCTCATTTCTCGAAAAAAGACTTGAGTAAGGATCAGAAGAATCCTTTGATTCTTCTGGGGGTCGTGGCCCAGGGCACCCCCCCACCCCCGGCCCCGGCCCCGGTGAGGGCCCCCCCGCCGGGGGAGCCAGCAGGCGTTCAGCGGTCTCTAAACTACGCCCCCAAAGCGGAAAGCCCGATTTGCGCACTCGCCGCCTCCTCCGCTTCCTCCTCTTCCCGCACAGCCGGGGTCAGCTCGCCTCTCGGCGCTCCTGACACCCCACGGGCCGCGCCGGTGATGCGCGAGTGAGTCTCTCCGCGGGGTGCCAGCCCGCAAGGGGCGGCGCCAGGCACTTCCTCCCTCCCGGCTGACTCAGGCGGCGCCAGCGCCTCGCGTCCGCCCGGGGGCGTGGCCGAGCCCAAGGGCAGCCCCCCGTCGGCCTTATATGGGCAGCCGCGTCACGGGCCAGACTCTCATTCACATAAAACGCTGCGCCGCCGGCGGAATCCCCGGCTTCTGGGGCTGCGAGTGGCCGGGCTGGGCGCCGAGCGTGCGGGGCGGGAAAGAAGAGTTGCGCGACCGCTCCGGCGTCGGCCGGCCGCAGCC